TGAAATATACTTTGTAATACACATATAATTTATTTATTGTTTTAATATAATTTTACATAATTATTACAATTTATAAATATTATAATTATATAATTTAATATAATTTTTAATTTTAGTAACTTCTATACTATATGTATAGTAAAAATGTATACTAAAATAAATTTATATGAATTATATATTAATGCACAAAAATAAGCCTGAAGAGGTTAAATACTATATATATATTTATACTACATAAACATTTCCATTTTTATTTTTAATTTGAGTAATTATTATTATTTTTTAATATAGCTTTAATTATTAAAAAGCTTTAATTAGCTTTTTTACTTTTATTTCAGTTTTAGTCATTTTAGTAATTAATTTTTATAATTCAAATTTATGTAAATATACTTTTTTAACACAATATAGAATTTAGCTTCACCTAAAGGCTTGATTTTTGTGACTCACCATCGCAGGATACCATGTGGTTTTCTTCTTGTCGCTAGTGACGACTCCACCCACACACACCACTTTGCCGTAAAGCTCTTCGTTTTGCTGCTGATCGCCCTCCTCTTCCTCACTAGACGATGAAGATGACTCCTCTTCTTGACTGTGGAACCAGATCACATGTTAATGTGAAATAAACAACAGACTGAAAGGTGTAAAACTTCAAAAACGTGGCTCATTTTACATTTATATATGAATTTCATGAAATCATATTCAGATCACATTTGACCAAAACCAAACATTATATATTACATACAGAAAATTACATGTATGTTTAGGTAAATTAAGAATGATTGTATTATGACATTATTTGCATGACAATTAAACACTATATATATATACATTTTTGTATTTTTGCTTTCAATAGCACAATACATTTTAAAAATGTATGAACTAACTTTGACTCAGCATATCATTAATGTTAAGGCAATTTAGAATGCAATTTAAAAGTTAAAAAGTAATTAAAAGTTCTAAGCATTTTTTAAAAAGGAATTATTCTAACCAATCAACGATTCTGGTTCAGATTCTACTTTTCGACTGAAGAACTGCTAACGGAAGAGAACATGCTAATCGTTTAGTTCTAGACTCTAACGAAGAGTCAGATAAAGCCAAACATGATTCAACCGATCCACTCACAAAAAGATAAGCATGACCTGTCGCCCAGCGGCTAACGAGCACAATAGAAGACGCTGCTTTTCTTTTTCCCGTGTGTTCTGATGAAGATAATAAGTAATTAGGCTCTGTGAGCTGACGAGCTTCTCGATATGGAGCGTGACTCAACGGCCGCTCTCAATTAAGAAGCCACACTCCAGCTCACCGCCAAGGAGAGACAATCTCGTTAGCGTTAAATGAGCCAATCAGCAGCCCGCATCACGAATAAACATGACCTGATAAACCACAGGGACTCCAAACACGAGCCGGGAACTTTATGCAACTAACACGTTTTTACAGTTTTGTTTCAAGCAAAAATTTAAATGATTATTATATTATAAAACTATAATGAAAATATAAAAACCTTTAAACTATTATTAAAATTAAAATGACTAAAATCATTTACAGTTATTTAAAGAAGATGCAATACAATAAAAATATAAATATTGCATGAAAAACCTGAAAAGGTATAGGTTAAAGTACTAAAATTAAAGCTATTTGAAAATTTAAAAAAAAAATAAAATTGGCAAAAGCAAATATTAAAATTACTAAAGCTTAAACTAAAATTAAAATATAAAAATAAAGGATAATTCAAAACATTAATAAATACTATATTAGTATATAAATACTAAAATTACTAAAACTGAAAAAAATGAAAGCTATATGGAAGTATTAAAAAACTGCTAAAAATGACAAAATATTTGCTAATTAAGTAGGAAAAATAAACTTTATGCAATTTTGCAAAATGTATAAATATTGCATGAAAAACCTGAAGATCTGAAATAAATAAGTATAGGTTGAAGTACTAAAATTAAAGCTATATGGAAATATTAAAATACTGATAAAAACTTGCTAATTAAGCAGGAAAAATAAACTATGCAATTTATACTGTACATGTTGCTTCAAGCATTGTCATTAAATTAAAATAAAATATTAAAACTATTATTAGATTATAAAACTATTATTCAAATTAAAACTATTACAAATAATTTATGATAACTGAAATAAAGTTGAAAAAAATATAAATGCTTCATGAAAAGCTTACACATTTGAAATAAATTTAAGTTGAAGTAATAAAATCACTAAACCTAAAAAAAATAAATGAAAGCTATATGGACATTTTATAAAAATGACAAAACCACATAACAAAATTACTAAAATTAAAATTAAAATATACAAATAAATGCCCATTTAAAATATTAATAAATACTATAATCTTAAATAAATACTAAAATTACTAAAATGGAAATATGAAAAAAATAATACAAATGACAAAAGCATATAACAAAATTACTAAAACGTAAACTAAAATTGAAATGAAAACAAAAATAAACTAATACAGACAATTAATAAAATAGTATATAAACAATGCTAAAGATAAATCTGGCTTCAAGTAAATTTATTTTTATATTTTTAATGCAAAATAGGCAAAAATGCTTATTAAAGGTCCAAAACCAGTAATAAGGGTCAATTTTTTGAAATTGAGATTTATACCAACTATTTGAAAATCTGGAATCTGAGGGTGCAGAAAAATCTAAATATTGAGAAAATCGCCTTTAAAGGATATTACTTATAAAAAATGTAGTTTTGATATAATTACAGTAGGAAATGTACAAAATATCTTCATTGAACATGATCTCTACTTAATATCCTAATGATTTTTGGCATAAAAGAAAAATCAATAATTTTGAGCCATACAATGTATTGTTGGCTATTGCTACAAATATTCCCCAGCGACTTAAGACTGGTTTGGTGCTCCAGGGTCACATTTGATTTGCAGAACTAATTCAAACCTGAGCTAGTTTTGACTAATCAATGCAACCCCAAATATTACGATCAGATCTGCTCCCTCAAAATGGCCGAGGCTTGTTAAAGTTCACAAGTGACTGACGGAGTTAACAATGAGGTACTAAGGACGCGTCCCGCTCAAGACCAAGCACGGGCTTTTCTCTGATTTGTGTTTGGGGATTGAGGATTCCAGGGCAGCGTCTGTCCTATTTGTGCCACTCCTAAAAGAAGAGGTATAATTTACAACAGCAAGCAAATGTAATCGGTGTTCCCAGGCGTCCCCGGAGCATCAGGACTAAAACACACAAACGCTTCATCCTTCAGGTGAGGAGTGTAACACAATCAGTCCTGAATGGCCTTATTGAAGAGTAACAGGGCAGGAATTCCAAAACACTGGATTATGGGACTACAGACTGGGATAAAGCTACAAAGACACGCAACTGACCATTGAAAAAAGCTCTTTAAGCACCATCCATTTGACCTCTGAAATGGAGGATCCACAAGTCTGACACTGAGAATCAACACTGATTCAACGTCTAATTTAAAGAGGGAAATAAAGGAGGTGGATCTGCATGCACCAGGGTTTCTGCAGGTTCTATGAATTTAAGATTTAAGAACTTTTTTAAACCAAGTAAAGAAAATTTAAGGAATAAATAGAAGGGGGCACAAAGGAATTCAAAATACAAGAACAAAAATCTGCTAATGGGATCAGAAAAATCAACAAATGGAAAAAAGATAATTTTTTCTGACTTTACTGGCAGATATTTGTTCTTGTTTTAAGCTTAAACTCACTTCATTTTGTTTCATTTCTCACAAAACAGGACTTAATATGTTCATTCTGCATCTCAAGTAAATGTACCTTGATTTAAGGATGTTTAGATATTTGTTTTGGAAATCAAGACTAAAATACTGAGGAAGATATTTATTTTATTTTTTTTGCAGCACATGCAACATTTAATGCCACGACTTTATGAAATTAAGGCTTTCTGCTCTGGTTTAGGACCTTTTTAAAACCTTCATTTGTGGAAGGCCGAATTAAGAGTTTTTAAGACCATCAGAAACCCTGATGCACTGATGAACAACGAAAACATGTTTTAGTACAGTAAATAGAGTTGATTTTGATTTCATATGAACTAAAATGCAGTAAACGCTTGTACGTTGAAAATAGAAAAAAAAATGAAGATGTACACAAAACACATTACTGGAGTACATTTTATTATTTGTTCTTGTTTTAAGCTTAAACTCACTTCATTTTGTTTCATTTCTCACAAAACAGGACTTAATATGTTCATTCTGCATCTCAAGTAAATGTACCTTGATTTAAGGATGTTTAGATATTTGTTTTGGAAATCAAGACTAAAATACTGAGGAAGATATTTATTTTATTTTTTTTGCAGCACATGCAACATTTAATGCCACGACTTTATGAAATTAAGGCTTTCTGCTCTGGTTTAGGACCTTTTTAAAACCTTCATTTGTAAGAAACCCTGATGCACTGATGAACAATAAGAGCAGAAAACATGTTTTAATACAGTAAATAGAGTTGATTTTGATTTCATATGAACTAAAATGCAGTAAACGCTTGTACACTGAAAATAGAAAAAAAAATGAACACAAAACACATTACTGGAGTACATTTTATATTACAAATCTTTAAAAAAAAAAATTTTTTTTAATTTAGTTTAAATTCAGTGTGTTACTTGTAATTATTTGTGACATTTAAAGGCAATTTCTGAGTAAAAACTGTTTCAAAGTAAATGTCACACCAATTTCTTTCACTGTAAATCAGTCCCACCAGGATTGATCAATTTGTTTTTGTTTTTTATTTATTTATTTTTGCTTTCAAAATGACTGTAATGATTTACTTAAAGTTGAAATAAAATAAGTACTGCATGAAAAACTCAAACGAACATTTGAAATAAACAGGTTTAAGTTGAAGTACTAATTTCCAGAGTTTTGTAGACAATTTGCTGTTATTTTCATAATTAGGGTACCACATTTACCATATGTATTACACACGATACTTCATACTAATCATACTTTGTCATGGCGATTATAACATCAAACAAGACCCACGCTTCATTTACTTACTCATGCATGTTTCTTTATCAGACTAACGTGTCAATAACTTTAAGCAGTACTGTGCTTTTTGTGATTCAATGGCGAAATATGCACGACCGCAAAAAAGACATTTTGTTGATTTGCATTGGGTTTGGCAGGAAACATTGGTAAAAGCATGTTCCATGTAAAGACGCTCACATGGGGTTGGAGCGTCGGCCTCCACGGTTTCCCTTTCTGCCGATGACAGGAGTGCCGAAGTGTTCGGGGTTTGTCAGAGGAAGCCTGTCGAGCGTCTGGAAGAGAAACACACCAGATTCACCAGACAGCGCTACAATAAAAATAAAACCATAATACAGTGTCATTACTTGAAATAAAATAAACACCAGCTGAAAAAAAAAAAAAATGCAACATTCTTCAATTTCATTTACTTTAACTTGATGTAGTAAAATAAGTTAAACTGAAATAAAATGATCAAAATTGACAAAAAACAACATCAACAAAATTACTAAAACTTTAACTAAAATTGAAATTAAAACTGAAAATATAAAAATTATTTCAAAATATTAATAAAATGATAATACCATCTCAATGATACGAAAATAACACTGCTAAGAATGTGCACCAAGCATTATTACAATATTAATATTTCTTATTTTGTCAAATTTTTATGACAAATAAAATCACACTTGTGCACCAAGAAGTGTTTATAGGCTAATTAAAACTTTAACAAAAAAAAAAAAGAAGAAATCATTACTTTATTTTTACTGCATGTTTTCCCTCCAATTTTTACTTTTTTTATTATCAGATATTTGCCAAGGCAATATTTCTCATTTTAGTTTGGTTTAACTTTCAGTACTAAAATAACTAAAACTAAATAAAGTAAAACAAATAAAAATACATGAAAATACAATTTTAAAAACTAGATTAAAATTAAATTAAAAAATTAAAACTTAATTAATTAAACATTGATTAAATTAAAACGTTAAAACCTCCACTAAAATTTAAGTGAAAACAGAAAATATAAAAATAAAATCAAAATATTAACAAAAACTATAAGAGTATATCAATGATAATAAAATACATACTTGCGTAGAGTTTCAGGCCTTAAACTACTGACAATCTGCTTGAAATCATTTCCTAGCGCACTGTTTAGCAAACAGAGATGTGACACAGTTTCTAATAATCATCTGGGAATGAAACACCTCCGATTTTGGGTCATTCCTACTATGCAGAAAAATGAACTCATTATATGTCTTAATATACTGGATTAATTGCTAAACTCATATAAAAATCATGTAAGCACAACAGTTGATGAATTGTTATTGTTTCGGTTTGAGCTGATGTTTGCCATGAAAATCTGGCACTTTATGAAGAAACTTATTTCTTTCTTTTTCAAGTTCAGAATGTTTCAAACAAAACATGTTTTCTTTGAAATATTGTTTTAATTAACAGTAAAGTCATCCTTATGTTCTCAAGATCACCTGAGCGCATGTCTGAAAGTCTGTTTCTAAATCATCCTAAATTATGACACAAGCAAATTCACTTCAGGATATGATGTGAAAGTGTCATGATGTGAAGGAGTTTGCTAGCGATCTAAACCAATGAGAAATCAGAAAGCGGACTTGCCTCACTCTCGGCGAAGTGTCGCGCTCCTTTCAGGCAGAGAGACGAGCGCCTGAGGGTCTTCTCATCGCCGTCATCAAACACTGAGCCCAGGAGAGAGAAAGAGAGACGAGTTATCAGACGCATCAGGACAGAGTTACATAGGATCAGTGCTTTAAAAGAGGCCGCCCACTGCTCTTCAGCTTTAATGAGAAACTCACAGTGAGCTTGGAAACTAAACAAAATTATTAATTGATTTAATCAGTACTCTGGTCCTTCATGCACAGTTTCTTTGTATAAACGGCTGAAGAGAGTCCCTATCACGCGTTTATGAACACTAAAAGCTTGAGTAAATCACCAGTTGGCTTGTAGCTGCATTAGGAGCCGCGACATACAATATAACTGAACTGAAAGAACAGCAGCGTCAAATGCAAGACATGCGAACCATCTGCTAGAGAAACATCTGCTGTGACTCACAGGTCATCAAGTGCATTTTCTCTCCATGTGCCGACACATATGCAGACTATAATTCACATTAACACATCAAATATGAAAAATATGAGGAATGAAATCAGTGTTTTATGTTTTTGTGAGAGACTGACGCATCTCATATGCTGCGAGTGACACAAACAACCTGTTATGTTGTGCAGTGAGAACCTGTGATGCTGCTCGCTAACATGCATAATAAAACAAAACAGAGAATTCAACTGTCATAGGCACAAAAATATTACTAATAGTTAACACAAATGCTAAATATATGATCATCAATATTTATGAATATTTACTAATATTTAAATTTTCTTCACCACCACTGGTCAGTGTGGTAAAAAAAAAAAAATAATAATAATAATAATAATAATATACACATGCATATACACTATCATATTTACATTCATAATTTATTTTAATTTATATATATATATACATACACACACTGTATATATAATCCTAATTATAAAACGTTTTCATTTGACAATTAAAAAAATATTATTATATAAATATACACATATTTGATATATAAATATAATAGTATATTAATAGGGGTGTAACGATTCACTCGTTTTCTCTATGCATCGATGACAAAGCCTGACGATGCAATGCATCGATCTTGAAACATGATTTTTGAATCGTGAATCGTTGATTTCGGACAGTAATCGATTTAAAATGCTAAGAATTTAATGAATCGCGATTTCTATAGCGATTCAATGCTTTCAAAATATATACACATTAAATTACTACAAGCAGGAATTAATGGAGACCTTGAACAGTGTTCGTGCCTCGCATCTCTCCTTCAAACGCTTCACTATTTCCCGCCTGTGACTGTCACAGGATTGCACTCGCGCCGCTCCGTTCGTCTCATTCACACATGTTTTGAGCAGCTGATGTGTGATCTCTCCTTAGTACTCGTGACCAGTAATGCTAAAGTGAAGTAGTTTTGCTTTTCTGTAGTTTTTCAATGGCTCTCGGTCATACCAACGACATTACCCGAGCAGTCGAAGGCTGCGCATTTATTGCATGGA